TATATCTGACCTTAAAATTATACTGCAGAATCACAAAGGCAGTTACAGCTGAAATTTAAAGAGCCACCACATATAAGCTTATCGCAAAAATCACATATATCTTGGCAAGGCTCGATGGATCAAATCATTTCTTTATTCTGTATCAGTAAGGTTTTAATATAAGGCCTCATTTACTAATGATCTCACAACATCATGCACAACAAAGGGTACGTGTCAACCCTGCATACAGGGTCTAGTTTACTAATGATTTCACAACATCATGCACAACAAAGGGTACGTGTCAACCCTGCATACAGGGTCTAGTTGTTGTTTTCGTGTGTGTGTGCATTTTTACTTATATTAGAGGCCTAAACATGATACCAAAGTGACATAATTTAATTACGGAGTCTTGGCCTACTCCGCTAAACAAACAAAGCAGTCATATATCAAGCCTCTGTAGTCAGATGATATCGTAATTCCAAAAGTTGCTAATATAGAAGACAAAACAAACAAATCTGCGGCGAACATTTCGGAGCAACAGGCCATTGGCGCGATCAATGACTCATACCCATTCTCCCACGGTGTGAAATCAGGCCAAGATCCTATCAGTGGTGGGAACTGGGTGGGAACTAGCGGTAAACTAGTGTGAGCTGCGTCCGTAAGAAACTAGGCGAAATAACTGATGTTTTGGACGTTGATACTTCGTCGAAGTAAAGTGATAATATATATATCGGAGTTTAATACCACCCTAGCAAATTTATAAACATGGGCAGCAAAAGTAACACTTACAAAAACAGTTTTATAATAAAATCTATTAAGGAATGGAACAATCTACCAAATGACGTTATTGATAGCACTATAGCTATATTTAAATCAAAAATAGCCAATCCCAAATTATAAAGAATATTTTTATTGTTATTTATATATTTATATAGTGTATATTTTGTATTACAGCCTTTTGCAAAAATTATGAGAATTGTCTAAATATCTAAATATCATAATATCAATTGCATGATGGGTAATCCCACGCGATTCCCGTTTGTCCTTTGWCWKTGTRGTTTAGTTTTTTTCGGCGGTGACGGACTTATCCGTAGTTCTGAACATTTTCTTGATGTCAACAATGAATTATTCTAGCAAACCCGCGTATTCTGGACAATATATGGATATGATATTTAGATATTTAGACAATTCTCATAATTTTTGCAAAATGCTGTATTAATTCTATCATTTTTATATTTGTATATAGTGTATATTTTGTATTGCCAATCCCATTATTTATTTATTTATTTATTTATTATTATTTTTCTTACTTYTTACGTTATATATCTGCTAGATGTGCAAACTTTGCAGATTATTAAATTTAG